ATATAAAATATAATATTTATAATAATAAAATTGAAGTAATTATTACATCAGATAGCTCATGGTTGACAGAATCAGCTAAAAGCACAATGAGCAAAACAAAAGGAAATAAAAGAAAAAGGCCCCTACATAAATGTTTATGTAAGGCGCCTCTGTTTGTTTCAGAATGATTGGAATAAATCATAAATCAGCAGAGTTTACTAATTATCTCGAATTGTTGCTTAAATGATGTAAAAGCTGTTTATTGTTTCCGTAAAAAGTTTTTAGATGTGTTAACAGATAATCTTCACGCCTGGTTGAGTTTAGATTGAAAAGATAAAATTATACATTTTAGCTGCACATCAAATAAAATGCACAGTTTATTTGCAGTAATTAGACTTTACTGCAGATTGATGACGTCATGATTAAAACACATCCTGCGGGTCTGAAGCAGCTCATCTTGTCTGGTCCACATGGTGCTTATGACGTCAGAGCTCTGGTGTCTGTTTGGGTTTTTGTTCAGACCCAGGGTGTTGGCTGAGGGGATGGTTCTGGTTCCGTCCAGTTGCTGCAGCAGCAGCACGAGCTGAGGCTGCTGAGATGATGCAGGTCCTGTGATGATGATGAGGAGGCTGAGGGGAGGAAGGCTCCTGCTCTCAGCCTTTTCTTCCCCCTGAGGTGTCGTGCATCTCGGGCCGGGCTTCTTCCACGCCTGGCTTCTCCGGGACCGAATGAGACGTTCTTATTACCGAGCTGCACTTTCTCACCCAGATCTGCCCATTAATCACAGGCAGCCCACTGCCGGGCTGCAGGACCCCCAGCACCCCCACCAACCATTGATCTGAGAGGAAACAGCCCCAGGACNTGGGGGGGGGGGGGGGGGGGGGGGGTGACATACCTCGGGCCTCGGCTCTGATTGGTCCTCGTTTGTTGGAGCTCACGGGTTCAGTCCACCGTTAAGCGCCTCCCCGTCCCTCTAAACTCCATTATAATGCAACCAAGCTCCCTTTTAACCACAAACCGAATTTGCTTTCATTTAGGCCATATATTTTTCTTAAATAGGTTAAAGTCATAGAGATTTTTTTATTTATTTTTGTTTTTATTTATTTATTTATTTATTTTGGGAGGGAGAGAAGAGCATTTCGCCCTGGAGCGGTGCGCAATGCTCTCTCATGCCGACCTCCTGGATGCTCGCCTCGGTGAGTTATCATCACCAAACTCCGGTCTCCAACTCTACTGTAAGCTGGAGCAACTTCTAATCTTACATTTCACTTCAGACAATTGTCAATTTGCTTCTTAGATTGTCTTAATGTGCCTGAATTGAGCCAAACTCGCTTAATTCATTGGAAAAGTAATTATTATTCTTCTTATTATTACATAATTTGATTGAACCATTTTCTAAGAGATCTGAGCAGATCGAACAGAATGAGGAGGATTTAAGGAGCAGATTGAAACATGCATGAATATACTGTGTTTTTAATGTTGTGTTTGATGCATGCATTTGATCCTTTTATTCCATAATAATAATAATAATAATAATAATAATACAGTTTATGTTTCACCTTTCCCTCCTGTGATGTTTATATTTCTGTGCGTAATTACGCACGTCTCTCCTCTCCCCTGCAGGGATGAAGGATGCCGCCGCAGAGCTTCTGGGCCACAGGGAGGCTTTAAAGTGTAGGCTGGGCGGTGGTGGACCGGACCAGGGACACTCCGGGGAGCTGGGCCCGGGTCCGGACGGTGTGGAAGGAGCCACCATGCTCCCCGGTGAGGACATCAGCGGCGGCGGCGGCGCGGGATCCAACCCGGTGCAGCAGGTGAACAACAAGGAGCAGGAGAAGCAGCAGCAGAACAACAACAGCAACAACAACCAGAACCAGAACCAGAACCAGTCCGGAGCGCAGCAGAGCCAGAAGCAGAAGCGGCACCGGACCCGCTTCACCCCGGCGCAGCTCAACGAGCTGGAGAGGAGCTTCGCCAAGACGCACTACCCAGATATCTTCATGCGCGAGGAGCTGGCTCTGAGGATCGGCCTGACGGAGTCCAGGGTGCAGGTGGGCAGCCCGGGAGGACTTTATCACGTGCTGGTTCCGCCTGGACACCGCGAGTCAGCTGAAGGGGACAAAACGCGCGCGACGTTTCCACTCAAAACGCACATAAAGCCCAGCTTCAGTGTTTGAGTCAAAGTGTGTGAGCTGAAAGCTTTAAACACAAACATCTTCAGAAAACCAGCAAATAACCTGATGACCAGTTTCTGCAGCTTCAACCTGGTTTGCGGTGAATCAGGAAATTAAAAGACCTCATAGATTATTGTTTAATAATTTTAGAAAATTTACTTCAACTTTTGGGTCAATTTGATTGCGATTTTTATTTTTACAGGTTTTTGGTTTTTTTGTTTTTGCTTAAATTATTGGAGTGAAGGTCGCGATTTTATCTTGACAGGAGCAAAATAAATACTTTGCATTACTTTACTG